TAATCGCTAAAGCTCAAGTTGATAGGATAACCTTTTTGAACAATACCGTTCGAGCGTATTTTGGACCGGTAAGGTTATATAATGTCTTGTGAAAGAAATTTCACGGGTGGTGTTCTCTTAGATTTACAAAACTTCACTTTTTCTTTTTTTAATATTAATTGTTACAGCACACTCCAATTTCTAATGAGTTCGATGATTCAATGTATCTCAGTGTCCCGCCAACAGAAAAAAATATGCTTATTTCTCCACCGGGTTCACCACCCGTTGATTGGATCCAATTACGTGAAGACTCACCAAATTCTGTCACGTTGGCTGATGATTTAGTTCATGCACTCGCGCATATTTCTTTACACAATTTGGATTCAGACTCATCCGACTTGGAAGAATTCTCACTGGATGACAAGTTAGAGTCAAATATCCGTGATGGCTTCGCCATTTCACAAATGCAAATACCTATCTTAACCGTTATTCCTAAAGATGCGGAATCAAATCTTCATGTAGACGTTGATGTACCACTTATTCTCATTCAAGACTGGGATGAAATTCCCGCGTCAAACAAAAATTTCAAAAAGCCATTACAAGTTAATTCTATAACTAGACCATATTTTTGTCCAACGCCGGCTCCAGCTTCATTTTTATTACAATCTTGATAGATCTCTTTCCTTCTTTACATTAAAGTTACGGTTATTCACGTGATTATGTTACACGATACACTTGACAAATAAAATGTTGCCAAATTTACCACATAAAAAATCGTTTTTTTACAAAAATTTTCTAATTTCGCGAGTGTCGAGTTTTTTACCATTAAAAAAAAAAATTATGTACACACAACCACCCCCGAGCTCCCAACAACCTACGCAACGCCCTATTTCCAATCAACCACAATCACAACCTTTAACGTCCCAACCTGTATCATCCTCAACCCCACCGATACAACAGAATTTTCCAGGTTGGCGACCAGTTGGAGGAAACGCGCAGCCATTTCGTCCACCACCACCACCACAAAATGTGAGACCCGGCTTCCTACCTGGTCAACGTCCCCCCCAAACCGTAGCTGCACCAGGTTTTTATCCTTTCTTCCGTTAACATTACAAAGTGATTAGCTGCTTCTCACACGTTATCAATACTTTAAAGTTATCTTAAAAACGAGAATAACGCATTCAAAAAGATGTAGATTCAAGATCCTTTTTTTGATTGCTATTTTTCTTTAAACGTATAATGATTCTTGTTGATAACGAACGGTCATTTCACAAATTATTTCAAACTTGGAAAACCAAAAATAATTTAAATCGCTTGTTATTTTAGGAACTGGACCCATGATCCAAGGTCAACCACAGATGATTGCAGCAGCTCAATCGCAACCTCCGCAGGTAAACACTTTTCCTGGATCAAGACCGCCCATGATTCAACCTTCTAGCTCTGCATACCCACAGTCCACGATATCATCCTTACCTACCAGACCACCAGGTCCTCCAGGTCCTATGCGTCCACCGCAACGATTGGATGTTGGTAATATGGATGATATCGTAAATCAAGTGGGTAATATAGAAATTAACCCGGGTCCTCCTTCCATTCAGGATCAACCTCAACTCGATGTAATGTATTTTATCAATCCAAACACTATCACAAAGTA